ATAGTGGCCCTCTTGCAGGTCTTCATTGAGGATGATGCCGTTTCTATTGCTCCGACCGTTGCCCCAAGCTTGGTATTTTGCGTTCAGATCGCCAGCGATGATAAAGTTCCCGCTCCTCCGGGTGAGTTTGATGATGACTTTCCGGAAGGCCACTGACGACCCGTTCCTGATGTTGGTTTGCTTGGGGCAGTAGGCCGCGATAGTGGTGATTGGGCCAAGTGATGTGCTCACCTCCACTCCGATGACTTCAATTATTTGCAGCTGGAAGTTTGGTAGCAGCCGGCAACTGATGTTCCGTCTTGCAGCGATGGCCACTCCTCCAGCTCCAGAGCAGGTGCGATCAAGTCTGACGAGCCGGAAGTCGGGAAGGAATACGTTCAGTTCGGGCTTCAAATGCGTTTCGATGCTGAACTGTCCGACTGTTGAGAACCATTTGGATACTCGCAGGATTGGCTTGTTGGTTGTTGAGCGGAAGCTGGGCTAGGTTCGGAACATGTCAACGAGGCTGGATAGCTGGGTACTGGACTTCCGTGAGTACAGGAGGCGAACGATGATTACGGAGGCGACCGAGCTGGTTGTTGATTGTGACCTTCCGACGGATATTAATGAACTCCATTCGCTTGGAAAATTTGGAGGCTTGGTGGTTTCCACCGCAGTTGACACACGTTGGCTCGATGTCATCGACTTGCTCACAGGACGTAGTTGAGTGAGTTCCAGCACACTTGCCGCAGTTTGTCTTCATGTGGCAGTTTTTGGTGCCATGGCCATATGAGAGGCAGTTCATACACTGCGTTACATCACGATGTTGGGGTTTGTAATGCTCCCAACTGATGATGACCTGAAACAGGTCCCGGATTTTGGATCTCAGAGCTGCAAGACTGCAAGGCTGCATCCCTTCGTGACGTGCACAAGGAACAACTGATCACGGAAGCTGGTGTTGTGGCTGGGACGCCGGTTCATCGGGTACACTGCCTCAGGCTTGAGTCCAAACCGCTCCAGCTCGGATTTCACCGCTGTCGCCTCGAACGACAATAATCCACATAAAACCACCTTCAGTGGTTTGCTCGATGGCAGATCATGCGTTAAGAAGTCCACGCTGTTGTCCTTCAGGAAACATCCTATTTGTTTGTACTCCTCCAGGCTGGAGCACATGATTTTGGTACCGATGCTGCAAAGCTTGAAGCGAGGCAGCAGCTTGTGTTTTGCCAGTTCGGCACCCAGCTTGGCAACATCCTTCATCGGTCTGAAAAGCGGGGGAATCCGCTCTCTTCTTGCGATGGGAACGGCGTCACCATCGCCATTTTCTTCCGGGAGTACTGCTTACTGGTTGGCTTGCAGTACTCGTTTTCTGGCGTCATCCTGCGACGCGCTGGGCTTGATTTGCACCTTCTGTTTTACGTTTACGCACCATTTGTTTCGTGTTTGCAAGTTCAAGTAAACTTGCCAGAACGCGAGAAGGTGGCGACACTTCCACGGCGCAACGCGACAGCACAAAAAGAAACAAAATTGAATCAAGAACTCGAGCGAAAATACGAACTGAACAGCTTGACAGTCGAGCAAAGAATGGACTGGACAGCACCCCACACGGTGATTGAATAAGCACCGTTCGGCGAGACCGGATGAAATTCGATTTTGAAATCTGTGAAAGGGAACGTGCTTTTTGCGGTCAATCGGTGATAATTTTGATCACCATTTCTACAGTTGGACATTTGTGTAATTTTCAATAGTGACCAAGTTTGATCAAAGTAATCGATCGCGTTCATAAATAACGTCAAATGGAACTCGAAAGAAGAAAAATATTGTGCACAAGCACCTGGAAAATCCGGAGTGGTCCAGTTCCAAGCTGGCTAAAGTGCTGAAGATGCCGAAAACAACAGTTTGCCGAGTGCTCAAAACCTTCAAGGAACCCCTGAGTGTGGAAAGGAATCACCGGACCTACGAAAAAACTGGAACCAGGTATCGTCAGCTGCGCAGCAAGGTGTTGAGGTGCGTTAAATCCAACCCCGGAAGGTACACTTCAAACTTTCAAACAGTGCAGAACATCCTTGCCAGGGAAAGATACAAATCATACAAAGCCAGTAAACATCCGAACCGAATTGTACAACCGTGTTTTGACGAAACACAACGGCTGCACGTTGATCGATGACGAAACATACGTCAAACTCGATTTTAAGCAGCTTCCCTGTCAAAAGTTTTATATCACGACTGGACGGGGAAATGTGCCGGGAAGATTCAAATTCGTGTTTGCCGACAAGTTCGTGAAGAAGGCCATGATTTGGCAAGCGATTTGCAGTTGTGTTGTGGTCTGAAAACGGAACCATTCGTCACATCCTCCACGATGACATCCTAAGTTTATAGTACATCGAAGAATGCCTGAAAAAGCGTGTATTGCCGTTCATCCGTAAGCATAGGGGCAAAGTTCTCTTTTGGCCCGATTTGGCAGTGAGGCAGTCAATGACATCCAGGAAATGCGGGCAAAATGGAAGAAATGCGCTGATTCCATCTAATGCTGTAACTATGAAGTTTTAAGCTGTAAAACAAGCCATAATGGACTTTTTAAACTTATGGAATCACGAATTACAGGTATTTTTGTGCGTACCAATTTATTTTTAGTAAGCCTTTATTTCTGTTAATCATCCATCTTCGGGATATTCATATGCTATCACCAGTTTTTTAAGTGAAAACAAATCTGAAGTCTCAGAATCTGAATTTTCATTGAAGTAAGATTTATCTTGGAACCTTTAAGAAGTATTTTAAAATCGTCTAAGAAGTCCATCTTGGGACTCTCTATGGTGAGCGTATAAATTTAAAGCGGAGCTGGGTCTCAAAATGAGATCAAGGCCAAACAATTGATGGGGTTAAAGACAAGTGTTTTATATCTAAAATGCAGGGCGACCAGTGATCCGGGAAACTGGCAAACCGGGCTGAAGCCACCGGGAAAAAACCGGGAAAATTCCGTGAATTTCGATGACAAATCCGGAAAAATATACTTCGCCCTCTCTTCGAAAACTTTTAAGACCATTGGACTCGACTAGATTTTCAGGATACAGTCACTTTGAAGAACTATTAAGAGAATTTTAGTTTTTTTTTCTAAAACAAATTTGAACAGATTTTAGAATGAATTCTAGAAATAACACCAAGCTATTTCAGAGAACATCTTTAGAGAGATTTAGAAAAATCTCTACGAGAATTTCGACTTGAACTCCCATGTCAATTGAGTGAGTTCAGAGTAAAAATGTAAGCACTTCTCTAGAAAATTCCATGAAGATTGTGAAGAAGACTCCAGGATTCGTAAAAAAAATACCACGGAAATTTAATTTGGAATGCACGGTTCCAAAGAAAATTCTGTTGATAATTCCATGTGCATTTCAAATAGAATTTGAATCCAAGCAATTTCCAGATTAATCTAAAGGAAAACCTCAAGATAATACTGAAAAAAAAAATTGAAGACTATTTTCGGCGGGATAATTTCTCCTGCCCTATGGTGACAGGGAAAGGGGATTACAAGTTTTGCTCTCAAAAGCTAATAGGCCCTTTTCAATTTTTGATCAAGAATCTTGAGGTGAATTTCATGGGAATTCTGCGGGAATTCCGAGAATTCAAACGAATTAAAAAATAAGCTTCATTGAAAGAGTTTAAAATTCAAAGAGAATCTATGGACGAATTTGAAGAGATAATACATCTCGGTTACTGCTTGAGCTGATTACCTAGCGTTTACCACGTTTAAAATGTGTGTATTTTTTATAAATGCGCTGCCTTCCTGTTTTTGGCAACACGCGATTTATGTCTTATTTGCATTCTATAAAATGTATCGAACGCTTTATTCAATTGGAAATTGTATAGGATCAATCTTCATGGGCTAGAGGTCCATGTGGTATTTCATGAAAAAATGTTCAGAAGGCACTAGTATAGTACTGAGGAAAGTAATAGTCGATGGGATTGCCAAAACCGGGTAGGCACTGCACCTGGAATTATTTTGGAATTTACTAGAAAGTCAGGGAATATCAGGGAATTTGGTTTTCTTCATTGATTCAACACCCTTGTATTAGTATTTCTACAAAATTTTGATGGAATTATTCCTTAAATTACTTTTGAAGTCCGCTCAGGGATTCCTCAAAGTATGCTTCAGAACTCCCATGGAATTCAATTTTTAGTTTCCATGAAATTCTCATAGGAATTGCATTGGTATATTCAATGGAATTCATTTCAGGCTAAGAATTCCCTTGGTAATCTCCTCAGAATTCCATTGGAATACACCTTAAATTTAATTCAGATGTATGCTCTGAACTTCCACCCTCATAATTCTCCTGAAATTATAGCCCAACTCCCTTGGAATTTTCTTCAGAATTCTTTTAAAATCCTCCTTAAAATTCATTTGTAACTCTCTTTACAATTCATAGCCAATATTAAGTTTTCTCCTTTTTTGGCTTCGATCTCCCGCTGAATTTCTCGTCAGAATTCAATTGGAATGCTCTCAAAATTTCCTTGGAATTATTCTTAATTTTGCTTAGTAATTATTTAAATAATCTTTACAATTTTCTTCCCACTTTGTAATTCTACTTATTCTACTGTTGCTGCCTGGACCATGGCCCATTCAAAAGACAATACCGATAATACTAACCAATGGTAGCCTAGTGAAGTAATCAAATTTCACACCAAAGCGTGCATTTATTGCCGAAACCGATAGGACCACGGCTTCATTTTACCCAATAACCCAAAAACCCACCTTCAATGGAAGTTAGTACTTAATATCTGCTGCATAATTATCCAAGTCATAAATTTAAGACCCCGCCGCCCAACCAACCACCAATCAACACCGCAATCCGAACGCAATGCGCACCTATTATTGTTTACTAATCTGTTCCCTTCTTTTGCTTCTCCTCTTCTCATTTACAGCCAAAGCGTGGAACTGACCAAAATTGTGACTTCAACGCCGCTGGAAAGATAGACGGGAAAACCCAACCGTTATTGGGCTACAAGCACGAAACAGATTCCCTCGGGCGAATCCGATGTTGGACAAAATTGAGCCATCACCGAAAATTTTGATGACACTTAAATTAAAGTGTTACAGAAATTGAATCTTGCACCCAGATATGGGTGAGAAGCTGAGAAATTCCAGTGCACCCCAGCATCAATTGTCTTAGCCGGCGTCTTCTTCTGTGGGTCAGTGGAAAACAATGGCGAACGGTGAACGTTACTAAATGATGCAATCTCCGGACAAGTGAAGTCTTTAAACCGAGCCGCGAAGTGCATTGAGTTACCATTTTCCTTCGGATGTTACCGTTGTTGCGTTTCCTAACACTTCCACCAAGTGCGCGTTCGGGTGGGTTTGATAAATTCGGGCAGGTGGGCGACGGCGCAGTCCGCAGAGAAAGGAACTGCGCGCGATGATTGTGACCAGTGGCAGCAGCGAACGTGACGGAGACCTTCACCTTAATCCATTGACAATAAGTGCGCGATTCGCAGCCATCTGCGGCACCAGCTGCAGCAGAAGAAGTCGCAGTTAGTGTGAGGTTTGCATCATCTCCGGCTTCGGCGGTGGCGCCTATAGTTAGGGGTTTCAATTTCGGTTATTACATTTTGTGTTGTTGTCGGAAAGTGCTCTGATAGTCATGGCCGATAGTCGCGAGCGAATACGAGGTCCCCCGCGCGATGGCCGCGAAGGCTTCACCAGTCCACGGCAGGTGCTCAGACGGTTGATGCTGCTGTCGGAGGGTCGCCAATACCGCGAAGCAGCCACCGTAGTGGGACGTCTGGGTCCGTCAGTGTTGCGTTCGGTCGTAGCGGAACTGCCGATGGATATCCTGATCGAGGCGTTGCCTCACAGCACCTACCTGCTGGAGTCGTTTTTCAACCGGTGAGTGTTTGCTTTGATTATGCATGCTTGATAGATTACATCTTTTGCACATTTTACTGGTTGTAAAGTTACGACCAGTGAGGTGGTCAACTTTTATGGCGGTATGCTTCAGGGAGTGTTGAATGCTATCAAAAGATCTGTCAAATTTTTGACTGTTTGACAGATTGCCTGGAATAACAAAATTAATTCCTTTTGAAGCATATCGTCATTAGTGCTTAAAAGTTATCTTATCTAAGAGGCAGTGACAAGTGCTGGAGACAGCTTCTCATTTCAGTTATCGTTGCTCTCTGGCATCCAGAATTGCAATCGTATTTTGAATTTTAATTCGAACGTTACATTACCATATCTTCTCATGAGGATCCCAAAATGGGTTATGAATTTGGAATCAGGCTATTTGAAGGTAGAATTCAAGGCTAAGTATTTTGAATTTTTTTGCAATGTAATGCAATGTTTCACTTGGGTGTTTCAGGGGCATATTAATCTATTAAATGTGTGAAGTTAATAAATGGTTCTCAGTGTACTGCACAAAAGCAAGAGTATTTTTTTTATATCTGAACCGTATCTGGATGATGAGTGTGTGCTATTGAAAACAAAATGTGATACAGTAGCTAATGTTTTACTTGAATTTTTTAGTAAGTGATTGAAAGAGATTTTGAATTACCTTTGCAGAGATTAAAAATAATTACGTTTGATAAATGATAGGTCGCAGTGCATAATTTTTTTTCCTTGATTTGTTTTCCGTGCTGAGTAACAATACTACCGACGCAAGGGAGGCATCTCCCACACCTGGACCCTACCTATCGACCCATCAGCTCATGAACCGGTGACCAGCGGTTTTCCTTCCCTTCCGAAGAAAGGCGTGATCAGAGATGTTATGCTTCAGAACATCCCGACGGCGCCAAATGGTATTGAACCCAGGCCTGCTGGGGTGAGAGGTAATCACGCTTACTACTACACCACCGGCACCGCTGTTTATTTTTTCTCAAAATAAAAAAAAAACCGTGTATATTTTTCACATAAAGTCTATAATTTTCTCAACAACACAACGTCTGACACAAAAGAGGTCATTCCGATCAAAAGTGACGTTTCCGTGCTACAATTCATTGAAAACTGTCAAGGACGCCATTTTGAAAAAAATTACAAATGGACGAATGTGAAAATGAGATTGATTGCTCATAGCAAACAATTATGCCAATTTTGCTATTTGGCATGGAACTGCTCTTCAGGGAAGTTCTGAATTTTTACGCAAAGTTTATACTGTCAGAGTAGTTTAAAGATCTTGAAGAATTAATTCACGACAGTTCCATTAAATTTAACAAAATTGACAAATTGAAGCTGCGTAAATTATATCAGTATCCACCCAGCTAAAGCGCCTCCCCTTTTTAGTTTCTCTCGTTGAACTCCTTCTCTCAACAAGTTGGTAAATCTTAGCCTTTTAGCAGAACGACACTTATCACTTTTTTCCGCGAATTTATGATCCTGTTTCACGCTTTTTTATTTAATTTTTTTGAAAATAACGAACTATAAAATACCATGTATGTTTTCCCCAGTAAGACTTTATTTTTCTCAACAAATTTGTTGCAGACCTGTGTCATTTCGATCATATGGGACGTTTTTGAGCTACAATTTATTGAAAAATTACCAAGACGTAGGCTAGAGAACTACTTCGGCCTAATCGCCCTTTTTGGGCCTATTGAGCAGAAAACTTCAAATAAATCCATGATTTCAGAGTTAACAAGTCAATTATGCGGAACGATAGTTTAGTTAATAAGCTACGGAACGAAGTCAATGAGAACGCGTGATAAGAAGGTTTGCACCCATTATTCCCAAAAACAAAAGAAGCGCTCCGACCGAATCAATTTTTATCGTCATCCGATAGGCCGAAGTGAATTCATTGGGATTTCAATGGCGTTTCAATGCGTTAGGCCGAGTTTAGAATCCGTAGGCCGAGTTTGGCGTCAAGAAGTAGTGTAAGACTTTTGACAATATCTCAACGATTGGTTTCTCTTTATCAAATCTTATGGTATATACGGAAAGGTAAATAAATTTGGAAGTCATCAGTAATAATAACATTCCGTTTTGTTCTAAACTGCGCTAGATTAAGAAATACTAAATGCGGGTTGTGCTTAATAGGCCGAAAATGGGGTAGTTAACCCTAATTTTGAAAGAAATTACAAAATCCAAAATGGCCGAAAAGCTCTGAGATTTTTCTTCATCATTGACAGGTTTTCGCGCGATATAGACAAAATTGTTATTCACATAGACACTGATAGACTTGATCCTCAAAAAAAAACCTTTGTCAAAATCTCATTAATTTTAGGCAAAGATTAACCTGTAACAGAAAATGTTGTTATCCAGGCAGTTGAGGACGTAGATGCTTGGTCACTTTAACGGCTCCATGTAATTGTTTTGCTCAAGTCATTTAATTTCGATTCAAATTTAACTAATAAAAATTCCCTCCCCTTGGCTAGTTTTTGCACCTTGCTGTTGGCTTAATTTCATGCTTTATAGTGGAGTGTTGGAGACGGTAGGCTTAGGGCCGGCATTGCTGGCTCATGCCGGGCAATGGGGATTACTAAGCTTCCCCTCTCTGATAAACCACTGCATGAGAGAACCAAAGATCTAGTCCAGCAGTGATAGTATCACACTTGTTACTCCTTTGTCTGAGAGCCGCGTCGTAATACGCTTACATATAAGCACTGACGTTGGGTGCGATACTGGCGGGTTTTGCCTCATATCACTCTTATTTTATTTATTTTTACGCAGATAGATTTATTTGGGTTTGCAAGGGAACTATACTATTGAAATATTTCAGAAAGTGCCCATCGGTGCTCCTTCTATTTGCGTGACAAGCTTTCATTGTTGTTTTCATTGAGGTATTACTCAGGGAACAATGTTAAACACCATTTTGGTACATGGTATTGTAACTAATCTTATATGTGCTTCATTTTGATTTGGGATAAGTGTTTGAACTATGGCTCGGGATTTCCACTGTGGCGTGCTTCTATTGTGACATACTCATCCGTATTTTTGTGGTGCGACATAGTGGAAACGTGTGAGCGTAGTTGGAGCATATACCCTATATAATTTAAAAATCAGCTAGGAAACTAACTTCAAAATGAAGCATTTTAGTCACTTGAAGGTGTCACTTGGGTCGAACAAAGATATAATAAATAGGTATAATAAATAGGTATTAGGAAATAAGTAAAATTAGAAGTATGTGAAAATTGATAACTTTTAATCTTTTGTAGGCATTGTTTTCCCTAGAGTGTATTGTACTCCACAACTATATTATTCTCTCAATACGCGAAATCTCTGATATGTGCGGTTAAAGCATTTGAGTTAACTTATTTTTTAGTGTTCAAGTACTTACATTTGTAAAAAGCAGTCAATGTTAATCTATGAACTAAACCCTACGTGATTGTAAAATCGATCTTTTCTTATGTGGTATTGACGCATCAATGCATGTTTAACTTTTTTTTAATTCTCTAAGGTTGTCTCGCGCGGCGTTGGTAACTTGCGCGGTTTTCGTATCTTACGTAATTTAGATGTTTAGTACGTCTAAGGAGCTTACGCAGAAGTGATACGCAATTCAGTAGAGCTTGTCAAACGCTTTTGAGCTTATGTAGTATAGAATTTGTTCGGTACGGTCGCAAATCTGGAAATGATTGATACGTTCTTTAAATTAAATAATTTGATACAAAGCTCAGTAGTAAATAAGTAGAATATATAGGGAGGAAACCAAAATTAATCAACTTGCCAACAAAGGCTATCACATTTATTTTTTTCCTTTGGTTTGTTTTTTCCGTCGATCTTGTTTTCCGTGCTGAGCACCAATGCTACCGACGTGCCAGGAAGGCAGCTCCCACACCTGGACCCTACCTATCAACTCATGAACCGGGGACCAACGGCTTTACTTCCCATCCGAAGGAAGGCGTGATCAGAGATGTTAGCTATCACATTTGTTTTGGTGGCACTCTTTAAATGATAATAAGCCTTTTTTCTCTTTTCGGTTGTCTCGCATGGCTTTCGGAATTTGCGCGATTTTTGTAACTTACATCATTTAGATATTTCGTTCGAAACGGATTTACTTATTCAATCGATTTACTACGTGGATGTATTTATGCGCACATGTCACAGCATTTTTACCAAAACTATCTTGAAACAATACACACGGAACCCAGTGTCCAAGCTGCCAAAATAGGCTAATTCTTCCGCTGTATTGTCAAAGATAGAAGCAACATTTATTCAAATGGGTCAAGTCTTGAAAACTAAGCTGTCACACAGCTCCAGCTTGATACACAATACAAAAAAACTAACTTATAAAAAATTCTGCACATAATCGTCACTGACAATTGACATGGTTTGCCTTGACGATAATTATTAGCTCAAATGAGTGACCAAAGCAGAATTTTGAATATCGCCGTGTATTGTCGGAAAAAGGTCTAGTTTTATCGATTCGTCATTTGGCATGGAAAACTGCTCTGAAGCTATTGTAACTGCCCTAAAGTTCTACTTTCCTAAATGTCTCTTTCGTTTTACGGATCTTTCTTTAAAATGTCTAAGCTTCCCTGAACTTCTCTGGAATTTCTTGAAGGCTTAAGAACCTGCTGAATGTTCCAAAAATTATCCTAGAATTTATGAAACTTTCCTGAAGATCAAACAGTTTTCTTGAAGTTCCCAGAACATCTCTGAAAGTATCGGAATTTCTCCCCTTTTTGCGAGTTCTGGCAAACTGTCTTGAAATTAATGCAGCTGCTCCTAAATCTATCCGATCTTCCTCCAAGTACTCGTCGAATCTTCTCTATAGTTAATAAAACCACTCTTAAAACCTCCTCACTTCCCTGAAGTTCTCACAACTGCTCCGAAATTCACGTTACATCCAAAGATTCTTAGTTCTTTTCCCGTTTTTGGACGCCCTTTTTATTTAACCGTTGTGACCGTTCTGAACGACTGTAAGAGTTTCCTGACGATTAAATTTCCCACGAACCACCGATATC